TCCCCACCATCATCCGTCAGCGGTGAGACCCAGCCAAGGACTCTACCGAGTAACATTTATTCTGCCTCGCACCTCCCGGCCTCATACAGCTGCTTCTCCGTGTTTCGCTCTATACACGACTGAGCCTGAATCCTCGAATCCTTCCTCCAGAAGAATTTCCAAACTATTGAATCGGCAACGGTTGAGATTCAACACGGCGCAGCCGAGGAAACAGTTTCGCAGCCAGGCTCGGCCAAGAGCCCCGAATTCATTAGCCTACAGCCGATAACGCCCTCTTTCTCAAACATGAGGCCGTCCCAAGCAGAGCCATTCGCGTCCCTCAGGAGCGAGCGAGGAGAACCTCGCACTTCCTGGACATCTGAATCTCATCCAGGACCCCAGGTTAATGCGAGCGTCCGAGGCATACGCTCCGAAGGTGAGGCCTGCTCTCAGCGACATATACTTCGAAATTTCGCTAACACTTCTATAGACTCGTGGGTGGAAATTTCCTCTCACGCTTCAACAGCATCCTTATCATCCATCAACAATGATATCATCACTACGGGGCTACAGCTGCAGTCCCGGGACGAGCGGCTATCGCGCCAACTTCAATCCCTCCCTCGTGTCCCCCATCCTCAACCACGGTCTTCGAGCACTGCCGGAAGTAGCCAGGATGAATACGAAGAGAGTGAGAGCGAAAGTGATCGGGTCCTGAGCAGCTCCAATGAAGACATCGGTCAAGGCGACTCAGTGGATGACGACGATACCTCGACAGCGCTCGGTGTTGGCAGCCTAGACAAAGCATTCACGCCTCAGCCGAATGCATTCTCACATCCCCCCTCGTCCCAGCCTCGAACTGCACCGGGTTCATATTTCCCGCCTGGCGCGGCAGCAGCATCTGAGCCACGTGCCGACCGCACAGTCACTCAACGCAGTTACCAACGTCAAATGCAATCCAGGAATCGTCCTGCATCGGCGTCATCATACCAGCCGGATCATGACGCGGCGTTGCGGGCATCCCTGACAACCTTACTCTCGTGTGCCGCAGCCGTTCGGCCCAAAGGTCCTGATGTCCGACCACCCCAGCAACGAGCGTCGACGCAACCGACTGCTCTGCGTCTTGTCCCAGAATCAGAATTGGTGAATCCGCCACGACAGAGACGTGCTTCTTCTCCCAACAAGCAGACCAAGCGTAAATCGCGCGAATCAAGCAAAGATCGACACGGTGCGAAGAAAGTCCGGGCTACCAGCGCCAAGGCGACCGCCACTGCGACTGGCGAGGAGCTGATCAGCCCAACCCTTGCTTCATGGATGATTTCAGCTGGCGTGGTGCTTGTATTCTCGGCCATCAGTTTCAGTGCAGGATACGCTTGGGGCCGAGAGGTTGGGAGGATCGAGGGCGAGTTGGGTCTTCCTGGCGGGGGATGTGGACAAGAATCGGTGAGGTCGAGCGGGACTGGGCTGAGGAGACTGAGATGGAGTTCAGCCGCCAGCAGTATACGCGCCTAGTGACGGCTTTGTTTTTGCGATTGGCGTTTGGTAATGCATCATGAGGAGCAAGAAATGACAATGACAGACACGATGGGAATGGACAATCTGCTAATGGGCAATTGGACGAACCGAATGATCATGATACCCTGGCGGAAAACCAATCTTCGATACCAGCTGTTTGCATGACTTGGACGCACATGATGTTGCAGAAAGCACACGAGGGCATGGGAATATTTCAGGCGTGGTTTCAGATTACCTGGCGTTGGAGAGGCGCCAGGCGACGGTGCAAACCGGTTACCGACCGCATAGCATACATAGATATCAAATACCAGGGCAGTTCCGATGGCACTTTGGACTTGTTTTCACAACTGATATGGAATAAATTACTCGCTGAGTATATTTTGATGTCTTGAATGCGAAAAGCCACCTTTTTACGGTGCCGTGTTGTGTATGGTACAGGGCAATAGCCTCTTTGTGAAGCTACATTGACTTCAAGAAATTGCTTTCCCGTATGCTCCTCCGTCTCGCAGACCTTGCGCTCTTGGTGACCTCTTGCCGGCGCTGTAAACTTATTACAGCATCGTCGCCAGGACCAGTCAGGTCTTTGCTTTGTTCGTGGACGGGGATCACCTTGGGTAGGTCTTTTAGGAGACGTTCCTGCTTCTTCTCGTAGCGCAGGCGCTGCTTTTTGGTCATTGCTTTGGAAACGTGTTAGCGAGGCGGTAATTTTATAAGGGTCAACAGTGTATGGAGGAATGGTAAGTACCTGCTAGATCGACCTTTTCCGCATCAGTTCCCAGTCTTTTCTCATCCAGCAGCTTCCACAGCCACTCAGGATACTCGTCGTCCTCCATCGCCATTACTTTCGGCTTTGCTTTTGTGTAGCCCAGACCGCGTAGCTCCTTGCCTCCCGGTATCGAACTCTTTAGCTTTGCCGGGGCCTTTGAGTCTTTGGTCGAGATTGGGCCCGAGGTTTTCGCCGTTGACGTCGAGGGAGTGTGCTGTTCGGAGAGAGGCTGGGAGATTCCCGATGTGTTTGAGGATTGAGTGGGATTGGGTCCGTCTATCGAGATGGCCGCAGGAGCTGGCACAGGAGCGGCATTTGGAGTTACAGGGACTGTCGACGCAGAGCGCAAGCCGCCGATAGAAGAGAGAGAAATATTGGTGTTGGGGGTGAGGGCGCGAATTCGGGTGAGAAACGTCCGCCGACAGCTCGAACAGATCATGTCGCCTGAGATGAAGCTGGAAGGTCGAAGGGATGTTATGCAGGTGTTCGTGAGTGGTTAGTAAGTGTGCAGGATGGAATTGCAGTTGTTCTGCTTTTCAGCGACACGCCAAAATAATTGACAGATGGAACTCCGCCTGCGAAATTGTTCGCAGGCGAGGCTTGGCTACGGCGAGGCCCCAAAACCCGTCGAATGCTGCGCTTGTCTATGAAACTTTGGATTCATCATTCATTATTGGTGTTTTTCGGTAAGTCTCTCCAGAGTCCATGTCTAGGTCTGAGCATACTTAGGTATCTATAAGCGTCATCCCAGGCGCATTCTACCATTAGTTGCGATCTACATATTGCCTTGGTCTAGTCCTGCCAGTATACATCCTTTTCGCGACCATCTATTCCGGGCGACTCTCCTCTCTCTCTCGCAGGTACTTTTCAATGAGATCTGTCAAGCGAGTAGAACGCCCAGAGTGTCGCTCTATAGAATTTCCTCAAAACTTCCAGCCAAAAATAACGGCCAGAAGCACCAGCGCAGAGACAATTGGAAATACTGGATCAGCCTTCAACTTGTCAATCCAGGTCAGCGGACGCTCTGCGTCTTGTGTCCGCGATTCCCTCAGACCTGGGATATAGTGCCTCGCAAAGAGATCGTTCTGGATCCACCAGAACTTGTTCAAGGCTTTCAGAATCTCCACCTTTGTCTGCAGCTCCAATCCCTCGACACCCATAACAATGTCGGTAACGGCGTTTTCGACCCAGCCCAGTAAGAGGTTGATCTCGCGGTATTCGACAAACAGTGCAGGTCTATTCTTGCGGTGTTTCAAGCCAGAATCCATCGAGCCCGTGTGGACTTTGCCCACCATGTCAATGTACTCCCAAAACTTGCTCTTGGGGGACCAGTCGTGGTTCGAGACCAGTCTGACCAAGTACCCCTTCAAAAAGTCCTTTCGGTATTTGATATTTTCGTGACCAGCGTGAAGGTCGCCAACGCTGGCGTCCACAGTGGCTCCTCCCTCTTGTGACTGTTTAGGAGCGAAAGACGCGGCCGTGATGTCGTATTGGAGCAGTTGGTCGTAGACGGCGTCGACGACATTGGTGACAATGGGAGCAAGCACCGGTTTGCATGCTTCAATGAGCTTCCCATCGTTCGCTGCGTCCCAACCAAGGAAGGACTGAATGTATTTCATGCGAGCAGTGAGATCGCGATTGATAACATTCCCATCGATGTGCTCCATCTCTTTCTTTTCCCTCGTCGTCGTCGATGTTTCAAAATGAGTGAGTGAGGGGCATGTCACTCGTCTTCGGGGCATAAAGATTCTGTTATCTTATATCACTTTCTACCACTGGGGACGATAGAGAATGGAGCTTATCATTTCCGCGGGAAGTAAGTGATATCGAAAGCCTCCCCGATCGTCCCAGAGAGCAGCCCCGAGGCCGCTTCCCGCAGTTCGCCTGCCCTCGCTTATTTCCATTGCTTTCTGAAATAACACCGCCAGCCCCAACTGCTGGTCCTGTACCTGGCATGCGGAAGTGGGATCGTGGGCAATTCTCCTGCAAAGGAGTGGACTCACAGTCACGGCCATGCGGCGAGTGGTGGCGGCTTGGGAAGCGGTCAGTGGTCCTTTTCAATCCTTGCCTGGTCCTGATGTATTATTACTCCATCTCTCGCCCCAACGATGGTTCAGTATCTGCTTTTTACTTCTCCGCGGCTGTTGGAGCTGGTCAAGTCGGTTAAACCTCCAACCAACCGCCTTGAATTAACAACCAAAAAATGACCTCACTTACACGCAATACAAAGCCCTTTTGTGCGACGTCGGCACAGAGTAGTACCCGTCGGAGAGAGACATAATTGGGATAGGACAATATCAGCCATCGTCCAGCTGGTGGGTATCACTTACGACACCCAACTCCGCGCACCCGAGCCCAAACGGTGACGCGACGGCGCGAAATGTGTTTCTGTGTACCAGCGTAGCGAGAACTCGGTACTGTGCCATGGTTTGACATCGGATGTGCGGATGCTACAACAATTGCCCTTCCAGGGTGGACTACTGCTACTACACCTAGGGGAATGAGGACAAGCAGGCGTTATCCTGAAGACCCAAGCTCGACTGAGGAACTGAGTAGGTTCATATTGCGACTACGAGTACGCGTCGACGCCATATGGAAATCAGGCGGTCATGATCGCCATGAATAACACTGTGATTGCCTAGACCCTTCCCCGACGCCATCCTCATACACCGAACTTAAGTTGCCTTCGATACACATATTCTGACCACGTTGTCCTTTCCCATGATCTTAGAAACCGCCCCGTCTACGGGCTTGTGCGCGCCGTCTGCCGGAGATACCATGCCCTGGCCTTGCGTGCATTGCACCGGAGACACAATGCACCATCGCTTCGAGATCGCTTCGCATCTGCGGTCCGGGCAGGGTCGGATATCGAGTATTCGGGCTTTCTGTTCCCGTTGGAGAGCTTCATGTATGGTGGAGGAGCATCTCCCGATGCTAGCTCCGAGTCGAGTGTACACTCGACGAAGCTGCGTGATGAGTCCGAGTTCATGGGTTGTATGTGCGAGGATGTCGGGGCTTCATATGCTGGACATGCCCTGAGGTGCTCTATGATTTCTGTCTCGAGGTACGAGCTAGGAGATGAAGCTGTGTGGCTCGGGAGACTTCGCCGAAGGTCTTTGACTGTGTTACGCAGAGACATGGTGAGTGTGAAGTTATGATAGGCTGTGAACATACTGTCCAGAACTTGTGCCTGCTAAAGCTAGAGAGGGAGGAGAAACTCGATGTGCTCTGACATCTTTCCATCAGACATCCAGAGACGGAATGCTCGCCTTATGTGCTCTTCATACATCGTCGACATCCCATTACCTGCACACAACATCGTATCCCTACCAGATGGCCGTAAACGACAGGAGTTCTGGAAAGGGTAGTTGGCCTGACATGGAAAGTGCTAACGCTTAGGTTACCTTGACCTGCCATATCGTCTTAACCGTTCTTAGGCCGTAGGAATGCTCTTAAGGCCTCAGTTTAGACCGTGCGGGTCGTTAGTGGTGTACGTGCTCTGATCACTTGCTCAAATAGCAATCAGTGAGAAGATGTTTATGGCAATTGTGTGAGACGGCTGCAATTACTAACCAAAAGAAGCCCCTAAGACAAAAAGCATCTAAGCCCAATGGCGGCGCTGAAAGTCGGATTCAGCTCGAGCGGACGGATTTAGCTGGGGGCCGGGGCCAGCTCTTCAAAATTTCGCGTAGTCGACAAGACCATAACTGAGGGATCGACGTAGGTTATGGAGAGGCCGCCATAACGATTGTTGTCGTTGCTGTCGTTGCCGGTCCAGGCCCCGCAGCGGGTGCGGCAGATGAGGCTCACCAGGCCCATCAGGCGCGCATTCGCCAACTCCCCTAAACACGCTCCTCTTCCTTCTTCTCAAACATGTTGCATGGTCTACAATCTCCTCGATGTGCGCCACGGTTGCCGATCGCCATTTTTTTCATATTGACGGTCGAACCTAGCACCCTAGCTTGGCGAGGTCAATGCCAGCATACGAGGAGGTGCACTACAACTGCCGGTCAAGGCCACCAAAGAACGCCTCCCACAGAACCACGTACAAACGTCCCAATGATCTTTGCTGAGCACAGGATCAAATGGTCAGGGCTACATTCGAGATATTAGTGCTGACTTCGAGCCAAGTTTTGACACAGGGTAGAACACTGTCGCCTCTCCGATCTACCTGCACTCCTGGTCGATGCCTAACTGTGATCATGTTGATGAATGCATTACTACAACAACCGAAGAGATGCCTAGGGTTACCACAATTTTTCTTCTCTCAAGAGATGGTGGCAAAACCGGTCCTGCCATGCCTTATCTTGTGGAACCAGAAAAAGCCCTCTGAAATGGCTTGGAGAATATCCAGCTGTGGCCGTAAATCTGTAGGCCTCTCGGTCGTCATGCTCTTGGTAGTCAGGGTTTAGGATTTCACCCTCTCTCCCTATCACTGCCAGAGAACAGTCTGTCCAAATCACAAGGAAAACGCATTAATTAGACTATTGTCTACCCAAAACCTCGCCCTGTCTGTGCCCGACCCCAAACCGAACATAAAAGTCTACCGAACCAGATTTCTCAAAATACTTAACACCAAATGGTAGTAAAACCCCACGTAGAAGCCTCGCTTCAGATGAGGCTTCTCTTCCTGCTCTTTCTCCCCTTCAGCCACATGTCTCTTTGCCTTGGGATTCTGTAGGCTTTTGATTGAGAATCCCCTAACCCTAAAGATGTAGTACAGTGAGATCGCAGCAAAGATGTTGAAGGCAATGTACGCAAACATTATCCCTAAGTTCCGATAATTGTCCGAGGGGTGGATCCACGACTGTTCGAGGAATTGGTTGGCGTTTCTGATCGAGCAATACTCGCAGCTTGCCGTGGCGGACGGATTGAGCAGCGATCCTGGCGCGCCACCGTCGAGGTAGGCAGAGAGATATTGGCCACAAGTTTGTCCAGTTGGAGGATCGAAGACCGCCAATTCATTCTTGGCGCAGACGACCGCTCTGTTGGCCAAGCCCGTTCCAGCCCAGCCACCGATCAGGTAGGTGAAGGGACTGACGCGATACATGAAGATCCAGAACCCTGGGAGCGCGGATGGCGGTTGGAGCACACCGTTGAACTGCAGATTCAGCGTAAACAGAATGGTTGACAGGGCGCCAGCCGTCTCGGTGCTCGGCATCGTGAAAATGAGCATTTGTGCCCAGGTAGATCCGAAGAGCAAGAATTGCAGACAGAATCCCCACATTAGCGCACGAGTCGTTGAGTCATTGTCAAGTCCAAAGATCGGGAAGAACCAGCACGCCCATACGACCACCGAGAGGCAGATTTGATAGGGTATTTCCACTAGGATATTCGCTAGCAAGAACACCGGCCAGCTGTACATTTTTGATGGAGACTCGCGGACTTCAAACAGTGCCCGTTGTGGGAGGAACCTGGACATGATCTGGGAATTGAGTTAGCAACCACGAAACGTCCGGTCAATTAAAGCACCATACCTGGTTGGCCACGGATGAGAATGTGGCGTTGAGCATATAGATGGCAAAGATCACATTTTGCATGCCGGTCGCCGAAGCATTTTGCAGATAAAAAGTGAATCCGATGAAGAGAGAGGAGAGAAGCGCGAACTGCAGCTTGGCGTAGATGTAGCCGGGACTTCGCCAGTAGTTTTGAAAGAGTCGTTGCATCACACATTGGAATTGCATGGCAAAAGAGGCAGCAAACTGTCGGCGGTCATCAGCATCGAGCTCCTGGTAGGAGGAACCTGGCGACGTGTTGCAGACGCTGGCCTTGACAGTGGAAAACTCGGGGCTTGATTTCCAAACCTGGGGCCAGTCGTGGGAAGCATTGCCTATGACATCCAAGATATACTCTGCAGGGTTTTCCGCTACTCCGCAAGCTCGAGCCCCATGTCCCTCAAAATAACGAGTCAGCGTCTGGCAATCCGTACCCAGCGGTCCGAAGTAAGTGGTGCAGCCGCCTCTGGCGAGCAGGAGGATGGAATCAAACTGCTGGAAGAGCATAGCCGACGGCTGATGGATGGTAGCGAGGATCGCCTGGCCGTCATCTGCCAGCCTTCTCAAGAGCGACACGATCGTCCATGAGCTCTGCGAGTCAAGACCCGAAGTGGGCTCATCTAGGAAGAGGATTGACGGTTTGGCAGCTAGTTCGACACCGATTGTCAAGAGTTTTCGCTGTTCGATGTTTAGGCCCTCGCCTGGTTGACCGACCACTGCATCGCTGAAGTGTTCCATTTTGAGCACTTCGATGACCTTCTCGACATACGCGAATTTCTCCTTCTTCGGCACCGAGGCAGGTTGGCGCAAAAGCGCCGAGAAACGCAAAGCTTCGCGGACTGTGCTGGACGGCAAATGTAGATCTTGCTGTTGGATATATCCTGTCTTTCGCTGGAATGAAGGCTTCAGTGGCATGCCGTCTACCTTGATTGTACCGGAGACATTCCCGACGGTGTTGTGACGCTGTGCAAGTGTGTCGAGTAAAGTTGTCTTTCCAGCACCTGAGACTCCCATCAGGCAAGTCATTATACCGGGTTTGACCCAACCGTTGACGTTGTCCAGAAGACGTCTGCTCTTGCCTTGAACTGTAATGTCCAGCGTCAGGTCTTTCCAGGACAGTGTTCCTTTTTGTCCACGTTCCTTTTTATTCGACGGCCTGACGATACTCGTGCATCCTGCCTCTGAGATGGACGCAGCATCCCTTGAGCTAAAGAGGGCTGGAGAGGGGTTTTCTTGGTCGCTGGTCGCGTTTCCCTCGATGTCTCCTTCCTCTGGCTTCAGGCTCTGTGCTGCTTTGTAATTGAGGAAGACGAGTCGTTGTGGTTGAGCATTGACGGTCGACCTGATTTCTGTGGCAATGAGGTAGAACGCGAGAAAGAACACCATATAGGCGAACGCAATCCCGAGATTTCGCCATATATGGGAGTAACTATATTGGTAGCCGGACTGTACCCACGAATCTCCAGCAACGATACGCTGGTCAGGCTTGGCTCCGATGACGGCGCAAGCAAAGTTGGATGCCCCTCGAGCATAGGGAGGGACAAGGCTTTGTGGAGCGCAGGGGAACTCTCGATCGTGGACTTCGTTGACAAGCAGTGCTTCAAATATGTAGGCGATCGGGTTGATGTAGTTGATCCAGCGGAACCAAGGGTGCATGTATGAGGTCTGAAGCGTGAAACCCGTGTATATGACCATCATGAGGACACCAACACCGGCGATTGCGTAAGCTTGGGCAAGCTGTTTCGAGGCGGCGCCAATGCTGCGGAATATGGTTGACATAACCAGTGTGCAAACGAAGTTGAAGAGCAGGAAGGTAAAGAAGCTCGAAGCATCGGGTCGGAGTCCAGACATGAAATAGAAGACCAAGTTGAATAAGGTCGAGATGACGAACTTGACAGGGATATCGACAATGAACGATGCGAGTGCATCTGCGAACGGGTGGCAGAATGCGAAGGTGTTCTGTTTCTGAATAACACCTCTTTTGCCGAACAGCGCTCCAATCTCGGTGACGGCCATCAGCGCATTTATCAAGGTGGCAAGAAATAGCACCGACCCTCTGGACTGAAGGCTCTCTGTGGTGTTGGGTGGATCAAAGAAGATGCTGCCGATAATCAAGGCAAGAATGATTCGCCCCATCGCCAGTGTTATCGTGGAGGTTCTGTCGTTCGACAATAACTGGCAGGATCTCTTCATACATAGCCGGACCTGCATCCACACGGAGATGAGAAACGGAGACGAGTTACGAGTGTGATGGGCCTGTGCAGCGTGATGTGCGGCCCGGAGTGCTTGGAGGCGGCCGTTGTCTGTTGCATCCTCCTCGTACTGGACGATCTCGACCATACAGGCGTGGTACTCTTCCGACTTAAGCCAGTATTGTTCAAACTCAACGGCAGTTCGAGGTACCTTGTCGGTGCAATTCACACGGATTTGCCGTTCCGATGGATTGGTAACGGAGGTTAGGAAGTCTGGGGTTGTCTGACGCGGAGGACAATACCAGCCCATCTTCTCAAAATAGGAGCGCGCGGAATCCGCTGGGCCGAAGAATATCTGTCGTCCTTCGTACAGTATCATAACCTTGTCAAAGACATCATAGATGTTCTGGCTAGCCTGATAAAGTGCGACAGCTTGGGTAACTCCGGCAACA